TTGTCAGTCTTAATGGCTGAGTACCTGGAGAAGACATGTCAACTACTTAGGCAGGATCCTTTATTCTTCATCCAACCCAGGTATGCTAACCAGAGTACAAATGTAACTGCTTCCGATGAATGCTGGTTCTGCAGATCTAAATGAGCCTTTAGACAGCAATGCCCCTAAGCCAAAGCACTGCTTTTCATGTCTTTGATTCATCAGGAGCTTACAGCCAGGGATATAGCTCAGTAACATAAAACTGCCTAACAATCAAGGGGCCCTGGATTCAGTCTCTAGTACTACAAAGCAGAACAAATAACAGAAGTAGCATATAAGTTCCTATCAAGTACTCACAAAATAAAAGTCTATGAAACTTCAGCACCTGCAGTGGCCTCACAGAGCCCAGGCACATTGGACAAGACAGCCTTCACAGCTTTGTTTACTGTTCTGTTTGTGGAAAACATGGTTTTTCTTACTGTTCAAAATGGTCACAATCTAAAAAATAGATTCTCCATCTTACTTCCTATTCAGGGCAAATTATGTTCCTCTCCCTATCATGTTCAGTCAATTCTTAACCCAAAGGCAATAACAGATTCATGGTCCCACTTTCAGAAGATTCCATTTCTCTTCCCTACTTCTTCCACAAAATACACATTCGTGGTCAACCATTCTATTCTCTGGCCCATCTCCTTGTTCCCTCTTGATCCTCAAATTTCATGTTCTTTTTTGTTTGTCTGAGGTAGGGTCTCACTTGGCTCAGGTTCTTTCTGTTGTTGAAGAAGACCTTGACCATGTGACAACCTTCCTGCCTCTACCTTCTAAGTGCTGGTATTACAGGTCTTCCCCATTACACCTGTTTTTACAACACTTAAGTCTCTTTCCAGTCCAAGGCCCACAATGTTGCTAGAATATTATTTCAAAAACCTCCCTTTTACTGTCCTTAGAAATCCCTCAAGAGACCAGGTGGTAGTGGTGCATGCCTGTAATTCCAGCACTTGGAAGGCAGAGGCAGGTGGATCTTTCTGAGTTTGAGGCCAGCATGGTCTACATACAGAGTGAGTTCTACGACAGTCAAGGGTTAAACAGAGAAACCCATATTGGGGGGAAAGAAACAAAAACCAAAATAAAACAAAAAACAAGAAAAAAGGAAGAATGGGACAATCTCAACATTGTAGCTATAGAACCCCTCAACTTTTACTTTTTGAAACATGGTCTCAAGTAGCACACATAGGCTACCTCAAATTTGTTACATAGATAAGGATGGTCTTAAAGTTCTGAACTTCCTGTCTCTGCCTTCAAGTCTGGTTTTATTCATTGCTGGGGATCAAGTCAAGCGCTCCATTTATTCTAAGCAAATATTCTTAACTGAGAACCTCTAATCCTCCTTCCCAAAATTATTTTATTCATTTTTATTTGATGTATATGAGTGTTTTGCCTGAATGCATATTTGTGTGCCATAATCCCAAGGGCCTTCTGGGACTGAAGTTAAAGATGGTTGCTATGTGGCTGCTGGGATTGAATTTAGCTAAGTGTTCTTAACCTCTGAACCATCTCTCCAGAATCAAGCTTCTCCCCAAAATTAAAGGTGAGAAAGGCAAGCAATTAAGGTTCAGTCATAGAGGTTTTGCCTAGCAGGTACAAGGATCTTTTTGGTACTATTAAGTGTTTCCAATTATTTCTCTTTTTCTTCTGACAGAATTTTGGTATTAAGACCTCAAAAAAGACAATGCTAGGGGCTAGAAGTTAAGAACACTGGTTGCTTTTCCAGAGGACCTGGTTTCAATTCCCAGCACTCACAAAGTAGCTCACAACCATCTGTAACTCCAGTCCCTAGAGAGCCAATGACCTCTAATGCTCTGCATGCATGTGGTACACAGACATACATACAAGTAAAATGTCCACATACATAAAATATAAATAAAAATCACACAACAATTTCCTTATACTCAAAGGCTGGAGAGAGATGGATCAGATTAAGAGAGCACTTGTTGGTCTTGCAGAAGACCTAGGTTCAATTCCAAGCACCCACATGGTAGCTTGCAACCACCCAGACATTCTAATTCCAGATCTGAAGACCTTTTCTGACTCCCTCAGACACCAGGCATGCATATGATACAGATACATACATTTGGACAAAAACGGTCATACACATAAAAAAGTCTCTTAGAATGTTTTCTTGGATTACCTGTTTTTAGTTTGTACTTTATGCCAGGGAACACAAATAAAATTGAGTTTCTTTCCTTCCTTCCTTTCCTATTTTATATTTGAGATAGAATTTCACCATGCAGCTCAGATTGGGCTGGAACTCACTATGTAAACCAGGCTGGCCTCAAACTCACAGAGATCCGCCTGCCTCTTGATTCTGAGTGTTGGGATTAAACACATTTGCCACCAAGAGTAACTAAAGCTGAATTTCATAAACACTAGATAGTCAAGAATGCTAGTCCCCCCACCTTTGTAATTCCAACACTCAGGAGACCGAGGCAGGAAGACTGCAATTGCAGCTAGCTCAAGGTTAGGCTGGGCCACATAGTTGAGTTCTAGTCATGAACTGGACTACAGGGTAAAAACTTAGGCTGGGGATGGAAGTCTAGTAAGATGGACACATGTGGGCCTGAAGAAATGAGAAAGCAGTTAAGAGCATATACTGCTTTTGTAGAGGACCTGTGTTCTACTCCAGCACCCACGCCAGGCTGCTTACAACTACCTGTAACTGCAGCTCCAGAGAGATCCAATGCCTCTGCCTCAGTACACATACCCTGACAGACACGTGGTGGATCTCTGAATTCAAGGCCAGCTTTGTCTATAGGGAGTTCCAGGACAGTCAGGGCTACACAGAAAAACCCTTTCTTGATAAACAAATAAATAAATAAAATTAAAAAGCATACAAAAAGAGAAATGATTCAGCTGTTAAATGTTTACTTTTCTTGTGGAAGACTCAGGTTTAACTCCCAGCATCCACGTGAGTTAGGTCATTCCACCTATAAATTCAATTCCAGGGAATAGAATGCCTTCTGCCTCTGCCAGCACCAGCATACATAAATTCACACAGGTATACATACAAATACATACATAAAAATAACAAATCCTTTCAAAAATTCATTTCAGTCCTCATACCACAATAAAATAAACCATATTAAGGTAGAAGCAGAACCAGGGGTTCAAGGTAAGCTTGGGCTACATGATACTCTGTGTGTGTGCACTCAAAAAAAAAAAAAAGGACTAAGAACTAGAGAGATGGCTCAGCACTTAGATTCTATAGAGGACCTGAGTTCAGTATTCATCCCCTACATCTGGTGGCTCAAAAACTCCATCTCCAGGGTGACCTGGTGCCTCTGACCTCCAAAGGCACCATGCACACATACTCTCCCCCCTCCACAAACACTAACTAAAACTAAATCTCACTTATTTATAAAAAAGGAAAGAAAATGGCAGCTTAGGTTGCAGCATTTGGGAAGCAGAAGCAAGAGGCTTAGAGTCCAAGGTCGTCCTTAGGTGTTTGGTGGGTTGGAGGTCACCATGAAATTTTTTGTTTTTAAGAGTTACTTTTAAGCCGGGCGTTGGTGGTGCATGCCTTTAATCCCAGCACTCGGGAGGCAGAGGCAGGAGGATCTCTGTGAGTTCGAGACCAGCCTAGTCTACAAGAGCTAGTTCCAGGACAGCCTCCAAAGCCACAGAGAAACCCTGTCTCAAAAAACCAAAAAAAAAAAAAAAGAGTTACTTTTATTTTATGTATAAGTATGACTTTTGCCTGCACGTATGTCTGTGAAACTGGTATGTGTTTTGATGCTTGCCGGAAGAGGGCATCGCATCGCTTGAACAGGAGTTAACTGCCATGTCCTTGCTGGGAACAGAATTTCCAGGTCCTCTGGAAGATCAACCAGTGCTCTGAACCACTGAGACAACTCTCCGGCCCCAGCAAGACCTCTCTCAAGATCCTATCTCAGAAAGAAAATAAAAAACATTACCAAGCAGAAAAAGAGCCCAATGACTGAAAGATGCAGGTGGCTGATCGTGAGCACCAACCATGTAACACATCCGATCAGCATTTACGTACAAGTTAGGTACTTTCACACAAACAGCGCATGTGGTCCTAAACATTTTGCATACTTGTTGACTGGCCAACTTCATGTATCAAATGAGACAGGAAAATGCACACAGAGCAACATCTTGCCCGGGGGAAATATAATTCATTAGCAGAAAGGATTTTTTTTCTTGAAAAAGTATTAAGCCCCTGACTTAATTATAAAAATAGCATAAAAGAATTCAAGTGATCGAGAGTTAATGTATTTGCCACAGTAAATCAAAGGTGATGGAATAAAACTTAGACTAGCAACCATCGTATGAACACCAACGGGGACCTAGGCACTAGCTTTAGCAGGAGCAAAATACGTTTGAAAACTGGTTTACCAACGGCTTGCTTCCTTTACATTCATTCCTTCAACACTCTGAACGTGAACTGGGTGAGACCTTGAGAAACGACGAAAACGACACTTCGGGCTGCGGGGGAACAGCTCAGCGGTCATCAAAGCATTTGCACTCTCGAGAAGCGACCGCTCGCTCCCTTAGACAGCTCAGCAAGGTGCTGGGAAACGGGGTCCGCACCCGAACCCTCAGAAGAGACCCGCGTCCTAAGGAAATGCAGCGAGCGGGGAAGCAGAGGCGACTGTCACCCCGACCCCACCCGCCGGCGTCCACGGCCGGGACGCGACCACACCGCGGCCCTCCGCAGTCCGCAGCGCCGGGCACCTCGGCCGGGGACCCCACGGCGGGAGCTGCCAGCGCTCGGAGTCCTGCGGGACCAGGGCCGCGCATCCCCGGGGTCCCTCAGGGAGCCGCGTCTGCATCCGGGGAGCTCGGGCTCGCTGGCTCTCGGCGTCGTCTCACCGCCGAGCGCCCTGCGCCGCGCCGGGGCCGGGTGCCCGGTCGGGGTCCGGCCGGGGGAGAAGGGCGGGCGGCGGGCGCCCGCGGGCGGAAGGGCTCGCCTCGCAAACAGGGCGGCCTCCGGCGCGGCTCACCTTCAGGTCGTTCTCGGGAAGGTACTTGCACTGCCGCGCTATCTCCACGTACTTGTCCAGATCTAGCGGCGCCATGTTAGGAGGACAAGCCGCGGCGGCGGCGGCGGCGGCAGCGGTGGCAGTACCGGAGGCCGCGGCGGAGGCCGAAGCCGGAACCCTCCTTACGTCACGTCCGACCCGTGAGCGACGCCTGCGCAGCGACGTCAAAACCTGACTCGCTTCTCTTCCCCGCCTCGACGCGTCTGGCGCCCTCTCAGGCAGAACTCCGGAGGGTCCTGCGGGCGAAACCTGCTGGGACCCGTAGCTGTCTGCCGCGGAGAGTGCTGGGATTTGTAGTTTTCGCGAAACCGAATGCTCTCCTACGCTTCACCGCGGAGAAACCCGATGAGGCTTTTCTGAGGGAAGACAACTCAGAGAGTGACGGGTATTCCCTGCTCTCATCCCTGCCTTGTAAAGCAAGCTGTCAGTTAAAGTCAGGGTAACTTGCCGACTTCCCAGGGCTCGAGAAGACCCGGCCTAGATGTGTGGAACAGATTTAACAACCCCAATTCTTTGGCTTGGAAAAAAAGAAACAAACACTGAAGTATTTCTTATGCCTAATTCTGTACAAATACGGGTGCGCTGTTTTTCCTCCTCTTGAAGACTGATAGGCGTACAAAACTCGCACGTGTTACCTGCCTCAGATAGCAACTAAACGTGTGAGTTCCTGGAGACGGCAGGAAGGTTTTTTGGTTTTGTTGTTGTTGTTTGGTTTTTGTCGCACCCCAGTGTCAAAATAGTTCTTGGCACCTCATAGAGCTTTACACCGGTTCATCTGACAGCTGTATACTGAGCAGTAACTAAGCACAGATACACCAGTAGGTGCTTGGTAACCACAGAAGACGAAAATCTCTATCCCTGCTGCTGGAAAGAGTGCTCGGGGATTAAGAGCACGAGCTGCTCTTTCAGACGAGGATCCAAGTTTTATTACCAGCACCCACAAGACTGCCTACAAATCCTATAAGCCCAGTTCCAGGGGATCAGACGCCCTCTTCTGGCCTCTGGGGGGGCACTGTATGAATGTAATGTACAAGCACCTAGAAAACAAAATTAATAAAATAATAAAATAATCAAGGATGTATAAAAAAGCCACTCTGTTTTGAACCTGTAATTTGCTTCTGCTAAAGATAAACAATAAATCAAATAATTCACTTATAGCACGTTAGAAAGTGATAGTTGTTAATGAAAACATCCAGCACAGTAAGAAGGATAGGTTGACACAGTAATAAGAATTAACCAATCAGCCAGTGATAGTGGACCACACACTTGACCCCAGCACGGGAGAGGCAAGTGGATAGTTGTGAGTTCTAGGATAGCTCGGTCTAAGTAGCAAGTTGCCAGCCAAAAAGGAGATCCTGCTCAAAACGCACAAAAGAAAAAACAAAAAATCCACCAAGGTGGAAGTTCTCCGGAAGATCGCTGATGGAGCATTCCTAAGCATATCAAGAGCCTTTGGGGGAAGGGCCCTACCGTGACTGGAGATCAGAGGGAAAAAGGAAACACCCATTTAGTTTTCATTCGATACAATGGGCAACTATGTCTCTTTGATCCTGATCGTGAGGCGGGAAGACAAGTCTTTAATTTGGACCACACCTTCGCTGGAAGCCTAGGTAAGGTCATGGAAGAAAGGAACTTTTGCTTGTTGCCTGCATTCCCTTGTCTTGCTAGTGTATCCATCCCTTCACTGGCACTGGCACTGGAACCTGCTTCTTTGGGATTCTGGTGTGTACTGAAGACAAGCTGAACCATCCAGCCTTGTGGACTGAGAAACTGCTAGATTTTGGAGCGCTCTGTTCACAGCCAGCCATTGTTGGTTAGATAGACTGCAGCCTGTAAGTCATTCCAATAGATCCCCATAGATATATATCGTGGGAGCCCACAAGTGACTCAGTTTTCATCTGGGGTCTACTCTGACTTATAAGACATTAGAGTTCAAGCTTGCTTGTCTCAGTCTCCTTAAGAACCGTGAGAAAGTTCTGATTAAGTCCATGGGAGAGAGCATATTATCTAACTAACAAGCTTCCGATGCCATCCAAGAGGCACATAGAGATAGGGAATGGAGCTGCTGGCGATAGATAGTGAACCTGGCTGTTCCTGGATTCAAGGACAGTGCAGGGAGCTGGTTAATTGACGATGCTGCTCTTTGTTCTGCTTTGCCTCTAGTCTGTATATTAGCAGGGTCAAATTAAAGTTGGGGCTGCCCGGTGTGCTGAAAGGCATGGACTGGGCAGTCTTCCTGAATCCTGTGTTTCTGTCTTTGTTTCTTTTATCTGCCTTTTCTCAATCCTCACAACCCTACTCAGGTAATCCAGATGACTCATTGGTGCAGGCTCTGACAATATATTCATATATTCATATATATGTGTGTGTGTTATATATATTTATAAGTTATGCCACCCTAGAGAACTCTGACTAAATGCAGGAGCCTGCTACTATATATATCAACCATTAGTGCCTTCCACAGTACATGCATAATGAGTGCCAAGATTCAGGATTTCTCCTAAAATAGTACATGCAGCATGAGTGCTGTATTACATGCATGAGCATCCCACAGTACAGGAACCACAAGTGCTAGGTCACAAGCATGTACCTCCTACATTACATACATCATGAGTGCTGTTGCAAGCAGGGGCTCTCACAGTATGTGCATCATGAGTGCTGGGGTGCTGGGTTATGGGCATCAGCTCCCCACAGTATGATGCCATGAATGCTGTGTTACAGTCTTCCACAGTATACTCACTGTGGGTGCTCACTTACAGGTAGGATCCTCTCATGTACATCCATACTGTGTGCTGGTATACAGGCATGAGTCTCTCGCATTGAATTCTCTATGAGTGTGGGGTTAAAAGCATGGGCCTCCCATAGTATGTGCACCATGAGTGCTGGGTTATGGGTGTGTTTCCCACAATACATGCATGGTAAGTGCTGCATGGGTCATGAGTTTCCCACCGTCCACGTACCTATTGCTGCCTGGGGGGCCAGCCTCTAACAGCACAGGGCCCGAAAGGAATCCATGGGTCGGCATACCAGACTTTTCTATCTGAAGGGGTTAGGGAAAAAGACACACACTCAGCCGGGCGTTGGTGGCGCACGCCTTTAATCCCAGCACTTGGGAGGCAGAGGCAGGCGGATCTCTGTGAGTTCCAGGCCAGCCTGGTCTACAGAGTGAGTTCCAGGACAGCCTCCAAAGCCACAGAGAAACCCTGTCTCGAAAAACCAAAAAAAAAAAAAAAAAAAAAAAAAGACACACACTCTCTCTTGATGATTTCCTTCTTTGGTCTTCTACTATATATTTTTTTCTACAGTTTATATACCACAACAAAAATCTTTCAGGCAATATAGGAATTACAATGTGGTTACATTCTAGTTTTCAAGTGAATGATTATAATGAATACTGGTAAAAATACATTTTTCATCTCCCTTACATGACTAAACAAAGTTACCCCAAGAATCCAAATACATTTACATCTAAGTAACTTGTTACACATTAACAGAATATAAGCAAGCAGAGGGTTATTTTTCTCAGCCAACTCCTTTGTTGGTAGGCTGCATATTCCAGTTACAAAGAAAGAATCAATCACTTTATTATTTATCTTGAAAGGTAATTTTATAAGGGATCTTAAAGGAATCATAAATCTAAACTTTTATACATAAAAAAAATCAGTCAACTGTAGACCAGACAAGTCTTGAACTCACAGAGACCCGCCTGCCTCTGCCTCCTGAGTGCTGAGATTAAAGGTGTGTGCCACCACCGCCCAGCTTTTTACAGGACAGCCTCCAAAGCCACAGAGAAACCCTGTCTCAAAAACAAAGCAAAATCAGTCAACTGTACCTAGGGTACATACCCCACTCACCAATAGTTTCTTATATCAGCAGATCGAGGGCAGGAATGGGTACAGTAATTAGCCTTTGATCATCAACAAACTCTAGCAATGAAAGTACATCAGAGCCGGGCCTTTAATCCCAGCACTTGGGAGGCAGAGGCAGGCGGATCTCTGTGAGTTCAAGGCCAGCCTGGTCTACAGAGCTAGTTCCAGGACAGTCTCCAAAACAATACAGAGAAACCCTGTCTCGAAAAACCAAAAAAAAAAAAAAAAAAGTACATCAGCTAGTGACAGCTGGGTTGCTTTGTACTTCTGACCTCAGCTATGTGTCCCTGTGAACTTTAGATTGTTTTCTGTGGTTTTTCATCTCAAAGCTATTATCAAAACATTTGATCTAACCTGAAATTATTTTAAGGCTTTGTTTCACCTATGATGCACACTGAAATATGTGACTATGTCTTTCAGCATTAAGATAAAACGAATTCAATCCAGCCTGGCTCCTGGGACTCAGTTGTTTTTCTTAATCATTAACTTGAGCTGCGATCTATGTAGTTCCTTAGGTGAAACTTATAGGCCCTAACTGTGTAACATTTCCTTTTCACTCATCAAAACTCTGCATAAACTAACATTATTGTTGCCAGTTAGACAGTACAGCTTAGGAAGGAATCATCGTTATAATAATCCATAAAAATGCCCAGTAGAATAGGATGTTTCCATGAGATAAATACACTACATCCATTCACACCATGCCAGGTACCAGAGAAAGATGGCAGTGGCAAACATGTAAAGGCACAGCAGAAACAAAGGTCTCTGCCCTTGTCTATCTTAGATTCACCCATCAGGGATTTGCCTCCTGGTGAGCTGACACCCTGAAGTCAACTGCCATTTGCTGTTCCTCTGACATGGCCACCAGCACGCACTCTTTTTTTTTTTTTTTTTTTTGGTTTTTCGAGACAGGGTTTCTCTGTGGCTTTGGAGGCTGTCCTGGAACTCGCTTGGTAGTCCAGGCTGGTCTCGAACTCACAGAGATCCGCCTGCCTCTGCCTCCCGAGTGCTGGGATCAGCATGCACTCTTGTCCTGTGTTAGAGATAAGAGTTTCCCAAAGTATATGGACCATTCATGTTGGTTTACAGGCATTTGACTCCAACAGTGAGTGCACCACGAGTTCTGGGTTATGGGCCTCAGCTTCTCATACTATGTGCACTAAGAGTGCTGGGTTATAGGTGTGAGCTTCCCACAGTATATGCATCGTGAGTCCTGAATTACTGATCTGAGACTCACACAGTACATTCACAATTAGTTCTCAGTTATG